GTCTATTGGTTCTCTGTGTAATTACAGCTGATCTGGCAAAAACAGAGTAGCAACCGTGGGCGGTTAATCATGCTCATGCTCATTATATACATACGCAACGCAAATGTTCAAGGGAACGTCCTGTGTATATTCTTCTTCTTCATCATCTTTGCATTTCAAGCTTATTGCTTATCGCATATCATCTTATTGCATGCTCTTAACTTAGTGCTCTAGATGCACTTCTACAGTTATTAATTGAGAACTTTCGATGCCTGTACAATTTTTGCATTAGTATGATTGTGTGGCTAGTGCAATCATCTACGCCCAGGGAAGTCGAGAAATTTCCCAACCCAAAAAATTCCTAGTCCGAGAATCTATATAGTAGTCACCTCCAGCATGGTCTTGCTTTGTAGCTGCACCTTTATTGACTGAGCTAAGAGAGGTCCGTTTTATGTGCTAACGTATGCGTTAAAAATGGAATAATTTGGCGATGAAAAAAAAAAAACTACAACAGGTTATTCAGTGAAACACATTCATAAGTTGTGCTGGTTGGAGAATATGATTGGGCCTATACTGGAGGTCTTTCAGTTGGAGTTGCTTCTTTATTATAATTGTCTTCCTGAAAACGTTTTATTTCTGATGAGATTCCGCGGTAGCTAGCATCATCCTGAACAACTCTAAGCCGAGCAGTAGCAAGAGGCGTTTTATGACCAGTGTGTCGTTGTCAATACTGAGGCATGGAGATCCAGGCTGGGTTGCAGCGCTGGAAACCAAGCAGAACCAAAGGAAACTGAGCCGTTTCTTTCCAGACCATGCGAGTCGTGAGTGCATATTGAACCATCTCGTTAAAAACAGTATGCTTTATCGTCGGAATGATCCCAATCGGTATCAGCAAGCGGAAGTAAATCCGAGAAGTACAAAAAAAAAAGTAAGAGCGGAGTCGATGATCACGTGGCAGCAGGAATGGGACACGGTGGAAAACGGTAGATAGACCTGGATGAACATAATACATGGAGAGGGATACTTCAACCTGACGTAGTTCCTATCTGGTCATGGTTGTTTCAAACAATATCTACATCCGTTCGAATACTCAAGGTTACCCTTCTATACAAATTGTGGAAATGTGGAGGAAATATCGAAGCACGTGGTCTTCAACTGTCCTCGATTCAAGGCAGTGCAAAGGGAGATGCATGCCCTAAACGCGGAGAATGTCGTCGATGAATTGTGTCGAGAAGAGGGCACCTGGAATGTCGTAAGCAGGAAAATCACGGAAATTCTGTCGGAGCAGCGATCTAGCAACGCTCCAGGTACACAGCTAATTCGAACGACTCAAATGTGAGTTTAGTTCACACCTAATCGCCAAAAGTGCAGAAACTCAGCGATGTTTTCCTGCGAAAACTTAAAAAATCTGCCGGAAAACGAGGATAATTGACGAAAATTTCACTCAGTCTAAGAGTAGTACCAATAGACTGAGTGAACCCAATATTTAGTTTTCTCATGTTTGATAATTTTATCCTGGACAAATCTGGCAAATTTACTCATCGCTGAGTTCCTGCACATTATTTGATTTATGAGTAAACTAAACTAACTGATCGCACACGGATAGGACCCAACTTTTACGTTGTGTGATAAAAGAAAATATTGAAACGAGAACGATTATTTGACCGTTCTGTCATGGCGGAGGTATGAGAAATATAAACCAGGGTTGCTTACACTCACTTGCTATAATAAAATGTTTTTCGGAATTATAAAATAATTAGATGTTATTATGATATTTTTACTCGTAAGTTAAAGAAGAGGTTGTAAAGTATGTGTTTGACACATGAAACCTGTTAATTTCGCATCCAGAGTGTCACTACCAGCGATTTTATGATTCGTGAGAAGGTTACTAGTGCTGCCGAGGCCAAGGTATCATTCCCGAGCAGATCGCTGATGCTGGAAGTTAGGCAGAGTGTCTCCCGAAGATTTTGGAACTCCGGGTAGTTGCACAGGATGTGTTTGACGGTGTAGGGTATCCCACAGATGATGCAGCTTCTGCTGAACGGCAGGCCACCATAGTTATAGTAGAGCTTAGTGTGCCCGGTCCGAAACCGCGAAATCACGCGTTGATCCTTCAGGTTGTCCAGTTCGCTCCATGGTTCAGTTGACCCTTTGACTTTGCGGATGAAGGCAGTTCTGTTGCGGAATGGTGCGCATGATCCACCGTCTGACGTCCTGTAGGGGTACCTTGTCGGTGAGTCTGGGACCCGATGTCCCGGCTCCGGCAAGGTGATCAGCAGACTCGTTACCTGGCACTCCGCAGTGTCCGGGAATCCATGTGTACACGGTGTTCGTTGGGTGTACCTGATAACCGCCTGGATCCATGGGTGTTTCCGAGGTGATCGCTTGAACGACGCTGTGTGAGTCGGTTAATATAAGTATCGGTTTGTTGGCTGGCGTCGTAGCAGCACGGAAGATCGCTGCAGCCTCGGCCGAGAAAACCGAACACTGTGGAGGAAGACTGCTGCTTTCAGCAATACCGTCTCTGAAAATCCCGATACCTACTCCGTTTATCGATCGGGAGCCGTCGGTGTACCGGTGTACGTGGTCGGCATAGTTGGACCCAAGTTACTCGGCGACCGATCTGCGCAAAATCACGGATGCATCCCCTGCTTTGAACCGATTGTCCAATTGGATACGTGAAGAGTGCCAACTTTTCTCTCCATACCAATGGACTTTGGCCACTGGTTGTGGTCGATGTCGGCGGCTGTGCGGAGGACTCTGAAGTGAGCGCTCTTAAATCGTAAAATCGGTGATTGTGACTATCTGAAAGCCAATTTGACAGGTTTTATGTGTCAAACACTTGCCTTTCAGCCTCTTCTTGTATCTAACAAGTACAACATATAATTTTTATCATCTAATGATTTCAAAATTTCGGAAAATCAGTTTTTTATAGCAAGTGAGTGGAAGCAAGCCTGCTATAAACGATTAATTATTGTAACATGCAAGCAGTGATGCCACATAAACAGATTTATCTGTAATCATACAGATTTTTTACAATATTTTGATACAGATATCTGTATATACAGATTACAGATTTTTTTGAAATATACAAATTTTTCAGATATTTAATATCAGCTGAATGTATTTTTTAACTCTTTATTATATTTATTCATTCTGATAAATAATCGTTACTTCCTTTTCTGTAGCAACGAGCACCAAACCCAAATAGCAATTGTGCAGTAAATAAAATATTAATTTAATATCTTCGTTAATTTTGAACCGACTACTGATGATCAGATGTTCTGATTTCGGATTGCTCGGTAGAAGCAATGTTAGTATTTCTTTCTTATTGTTTAATCAACCGTATCACATAGTGACAAGTACTATGGTTAATTCAATTTTTGGATTTGTCGAATCGGTAAACAATCCGATTTAACAACCCATAAGCTGATTGATTACAGTTTGTGACTCGAAGGGTCTACGGTCTATTTCGCCATTTGAATAGGGTAATATCAGAAATAAATAATATTCCATGCAATTCGACAGAACATCTAATAAAAGTTTTGTGTTGTGACAAAATACAAGAAAGTTGATAAAGCAGATGAACACGATTGCACATCTAGAAATACAGATGGGTTGGTTGGTTGTCTTTATGGACCTGTGCACGGCTGTTCATTTGGTACATGGAGCTATAAATGGATCTATAAAAATTTGACGTTTGAGCGGTGCCGTGTTTATTAGAAATGAACACTTTAAGTTCATTTTTAGTAAACACGGCACCGCTCAAACGTCAAACGGATGAACCGTGCACAGGTCCATTAAGGAGATTTTCAGCCAGACGCTGGTTCATCTCCGGAACAAATACAGATGGAACTATCTCAAACTTTATTAACTGACAAAATAATACTGAGTAATTTAGGTTCGAGCAACAACAAGTGAATTCAATATGCATTCAATCTTCCAAAAGGTTAATAAAGTTGAAATTTGGTTTGATTAGAAGTATGTGAGAAAATGAATCATCGAACAATAAAAATTAACCAGTAATACTTCATAAATTATTAATTTTCTCAAATTACCAGTCAAAGATTTTTGTTATCTCGGACATAAAAAAATTAAATTCTAGCAAAATCTGATTGTTACTTCATTAAAGAAATTTTAAGGTTTATCTCTCACTACTGGTACATGATTTTTTTATTTGTATCTTTAGACTTGTAGAAAGATAGAAATCACCACATAAATTCATTAACCAGGATTTCACGATATTTTTAATAGTTTAATTCTTTATAAAGCATACTTAAATCTTTTTTCAACATTCTGAACTTTGGACAGACTCTTTGTGAAGTTCAATGAACTCAAAGGAGATTTGGAAAGATCCGCACTATGATCATAATAAAGAAATTACACAGATTTTTTTTACAGATTTTTGACAGTCAGATACAAATTAAAAAGATTTTTTTACGGTGAAAATACAGATTGAAATTGAAAAAATTTGGCAACACTGCATGCAAGGAAACTACAAAACAAGAAATGACAATTATACGGGGACAAGTGGTGATATCTATGGGTAGGTACAGTAGCTACTTTATGTTAAGGGTAGAGGCAGTAATAGTCGCCTGCACGAACACTCACATTTGAGTCGTTCTCATTCGCCGTGTAGGACCCTCCCATTCTTAGGACGTCAGGAAAATGATAAAAAGGCTCGACAACCGAGGCGAGGCACAATTCTCCCATCTGTAGGGGAACGTGAAATATGAGCAAACTTTTTGACACCTGATACCTGACACAAACCCTTTCCTTCCACTTTCCATACAACATTTCCAAAACTAAACTTTTTTAATCAACCTTGGTTCAAATATGAGAGAGTAAATAATTAATGAACCAATCAATCAAAACCGCATCGTGTTTGTTTTACTCCCAAGGCATACTTAGTTGTACAAATTATGAGGGAAAACAAGACAGCACAAATTACTATATTTTGTTTTTATTTATTGCATACTGGTTACTCTATGTCCCATCAATGACAATGGACTGTGACAAATTCTATATTTAAATAAATTATCTAACAGCCTAAAATTGGTTTATATAAATGTTCTAAAATATTACTGACTTTACAATCCTTAAACAAATAAATGCTATTTCCAATGCTTAAATTTACAACAATTTTTTAAGTATAAAAAAACTTATAAACAATCTTAAATCCTGGAACATTTGGTAATTAATTGTGTTGTCTTTTATGGCTGCTTCACTCGTCGTAGGAACTGGTGATGCTTTCAACTGTCGTCGTCGGTGTCTTGAGGTGGATTCATTCGAGCGCTCTGAAACGGATCGATGGGATTGTGATTAGATGTGAAAAAATTTAAACAACGATCAGAAATAAACCAATTCCCGCAACTCACCTCCCGGTGCAGCTTCTCGATCTCTTCCTTCGTGGCCCGCTTGAAGAAACCAGCCTTATAAAGGCCATAGGAAATCAAAACCAACAACAGCAGACCGCTGATGGCCGACACAATGTAGACCCAAATCGGCGTGCTGGCAATTGCGTACTTGTAAACCACCGTGAAGGGATTGTTCCTGGCCACACTGAAACCGACCCCTTCCTCGTCTTCCATCTTTTGCAGTTCGGATAGAATTTGCAGCGCGAAAATGTCCTCCCGCTCCAGGAAACTTTCCGCCACCAAGTCCAGGTTCAACTCGAACTGCATGTTGATCACGATGGGAATATTCCCCGGTTTGAAATTGGAAATCTGAACGCTTACATCTGCGCAATCGATCTGGACCTCTTGGCTACAGTGGAAGAATAGAGTTCGGTTCTCTGGAAGCCCAGTGAGGATGGCTGGATTGACGGTGGACAGACTTCGCCGGACTCTCGAATGCTGACTCAGCTGGTTGGTGTAGCGATTGAATTGTGCTGGAACTGATCTACGTCGGCGACTTGAGAAGCCACTATCGTCGCTTATTGGATTTGAATGAGGACCTGCTGAGAGCATATCGAAGTCCATGCTTTGTTTGTAGAAGTTGTCCACTTCCGGTGGTTGTGTGGAGTATTCCTTGACGTTTGGAATGAGGATCACATTGTCTTTTGTCCACGTAAAGTCCAGGTGTTTGTAGTTGTAATAACCGCTGATTTGGATATCGTTGAAGTTGATGATGTTGAGTACATCTGCCGAACTTGGTTTATAGTAAACCAGGGGTACTTTCAGAGTGAAGGTCAGATCCCGCAAACTGCTGGGACCGTTGTTCATTACTTGGATTTGGTAGGTAACGTTGATATTTCCTCTTTGGGCTTCCAAGTTGACTTCCGTTACGGAGGCTTTGCTAACGACTTCTATTTCGCTGAACTCCTGCAGAACAACTGAGCTTAGAAGGGTGTTGTCATCGCGGTTGGTTTCTTCGCTTGTGCTGAACACCTCGGCATCAATGGAAAAGGATTTTCCTTCCAGTTTGGTCATGTCCAGCACGAGTGTCATTTTCGTAGTGGCGTCCATTCGTAGAGGAAGTCCATTGTTGAGGTCACACAGCAAATTCAGTCCATCGTTGAGGTTTGTCAATTTGCAATGGGATGGTAGCTTGGCTAGAGACAGAAGCGAAGGAAGTGTCACGTTGAGCTGCGGAAGGAAGGCATTTTCACCGGAGTTCTCCACTACATACTGTAGTGCAGCGGTACGAGTGCTTCCAATGATGTATGGTGATCTAGAAGAAAATCTGTTATTGGTGGTTTTAAGAAGATATGAATAGATTACTCACGTAATATCCAACCAGGCAGCGCTGAGTTTAAGCTCAGCAATACAGGTCTCTCCAGCGCAACCCGTTTTGAACGATAATTTTTCATAAATCGTATTTACAGCGGTAGGATCCGTCATGACGCATCTGTCGCAGAATTCGCTATTGGTTGGAATATTGCTAACTACTTTGTAGGTGAACTCGATGGTGATGGGCTTGTAGATGTCTGCGAATGAAGGCTTCACTTTCACGTCATACTCTTGGCAAAAGTCATCGTAGTTGATCTTTCCTGAACCATTTAGGATGTTCTGTCCATCACTGAGCTGAGCTCTACCGTTTTGGGAGTCCACTTTCAGCGAGTAACTGAATCCTACGTCGTGCTGGATGTCTGTTGCCGATTCGTACCTCCAGCAAGCTGTTAACTGAAACGCCGTGTCCTCCGGAGAAAGCTCCCGTTTGGAGGAGGTGACAAGGCTGAACACTCGCACCACCGGATAGGTTTTGTACACGTAAACAGATTCCGAATTGGGCGATCCAATGGCAAGATCGTGATAGCCATTGCCGTCGATGTCCGCACCTCGGGACATGGCATGGCCGAACATTGGCTGAGCCGTCGGATCCATGAGTCCATTCTCCGGAGGAACGAGTCGTTGGGAGGGTTTCGTTTGCAGTCCATTCGGCGAACCATGGTAGATGTAAACGGCACCGTTCTCTTCGAATGGAGCTCCGATGGCAATGTCTGTTGGCGAGAGAATGTGTAAACTAGTTGAGTTGTGGATAATTGATAATTTTCAGGGAAACGTTCAGCTGATACAACATATAATAATATTTGATTAGATCTACTTGAATCAGTTTTTAGATAGTCGCATTCCCTCAAAAACATTATGAAAGCGAGTGAAGACTCTAGGTAGGTAAAGTAAAACAACCAAGCCTTGTGTCTTTGATTCTAACGACATGACATGTGTTTTATCTAGTTATATCAATGACGATCCCTGACCTCCTACGTGTATTCCTGGATAACCGTTCAATTTTTTTTATTTAGAAATGTACATTCCTGGGAGGCTGTTCTCTCCCCATCGCTAGTTTTTACATCGTGACGTTGGTGGGAGGGCTTAATATTTTGTCATAATGGAGCATTGGAGATGGTTTATGGCCGTCATCTCTAGCTCATGTCGTTGTAGTGTGACGTCATGAGCGGGCGTTGTGGATTAATGAACCTTCCATCTCTGATGAACTATGGCTTGAGAGAACCAAACTTCTAGTCGTTTGTGAAAGCATCACACCTGTATATATTTCATTCGATATCCAAGTCGCAGCACCCTAATGTAAAGGCACTGACTTTGGTATGGCTATATGTTCCTATTATGGTGTGTTCCAATTACAGCCTATGGAATTCCCTTACGCCATAATTGGAACTCACAAAAAAAAAGAACGTATCAACCCTATTATTGTACTTTTCTATGAGATCATTGATGTAACCAGGGTTAGTGCTGTTAATTTTCATATCATTCGATCTAGGGGTAAGACAGCATTGATAATCAGGATTGGAGTAAATTTTGAGTAACTCTGAGTAGCTCGAGCTGCTCAATATTCAATGCAATGCGAAATAGCAACCTGTTCGATTTTTGTACAAAGACGTTTGACGAGGAAAATCTACATCCATTTCAACAAAATTACATACCGCCAACCACAAAATCCGTGTCGCAGCATGCAAAATCTTTGTAACTGGCTCTGATTATCCGCCGAGAGAGACAGACTACACTTTAAAAACTTTATGTAAGATGAGAATTATGTACATATGGGGCTGTGGCGATGAATGCATACGCGAACAAGGTAGAGCTCCACCGTATAAGGCAGTGCCCGCATCTGGCAGAGATACCCCGTCGGCAGAAGAAAAAAAATAGAAAGGTGAAAAAACACGATTAGCGAGAGCGCTAGATTTGGTTGTACAGTTGGGCGTCCTTCAGGAAAGTGATCAGCCAAAGTCGGGGGGTTGTCACCAAATAGATTCCAGACGTTCAGAATTCCGGGCAGACACACAGCACGTGTTCCACCGAGGCGGGGATGCTGCAAATTGGACATACCTTGCGGAAAGGTGTCCCACCGAAATTGTAAGAAATCCTGGCATGGCCAGTCCGAAGTCTTGAAGTGATCCACTGGTCGTACGGTATCCTTGATCTTCCTCAGGAAAGTGGTCCGCGACTGGAGCCATTCCTGCTGCCAGGCTTCTATGATTGTGTTCGTAATCCAACGCCTGACGTTTAAGAGGGGTACGTTCCTGGTGTAGCGGTACCAGATGGACCAGATCCCGCCAGTCTGTTCGCAGCCTCGTTTCCGGGAACACTGCAGTGTCCGGGAATCCACGTAAAGACGGTTGAAGGTGGGGCGTACCGTGTAATGGCTTGTACCCAGAGGTGGCTCAGGAGCCCAACTCCAGCCTGCAACCGCGATCCGTCTGTAAAGCGATGAACGTGCCCTGGATAGACAACCCGAGTAGCTCTACAACAGAACGCCTCAACGCTGCGGAGTTATCTCCGGCTTGGAATCCACTTTTAATCCGCTTATCTATTTTGATAACGTTTGATCACCACATCTTCTCTCCATGCCAGTGGACCCTGGCAACCGGGGGGAGGTCAAGGTTGGTGGCAGTGCGGAGGGCTCTGTTCCCCTCATTGAGGAGAAAGACCCTATCGTTCCCGGCTGTCTTAGGGGAAAGGGCAGCGGCTTTCGTGGCAATGGCTGCAGCTGATCGATAGCGGAAAGGGAGGATTCCGATTTCTACACATGCGGCGTCTGCAGGCGTGGACGGCAGGAGGACGGACACGATGCGTGCGTAGGTATTATAATTATGTCGGGGCGAGGATGCGGTTGAGCTTCTCGGTGGCTAAGCATGTAATTTCGAGGCCATAGAAAAGTCGACTGTCAATAACAGCCCGGGCGACACGAAGGCGGAACTGGAGCGGTGCGGGTGTGGGTGGGAGATTGTCATGACGATGTTGATGCGGCTACGACAGTTTTCTTTCACCATCCTGAAGTGCTGATCGAAGCTTAGGGTGCGATCCAGAACTACCCCCAGAACACGCACTGTTTTCTTGAGTGTAATCGGATGATCTTGGATGGTGATCGGTGGTCCCCGAATCAGATGGCCCGAGTGGCAGATATGGCACAGTCTTCGGCGCGGAGAGCTGGAAGCCAACCGAAAATGCCCACCTGCTGACGGCGAAGACTGCTGCTTGGGCTATATTCCTGGTCCGCTTAGCCGTTCGTCCCGTTACGACGATGAGTATGTTATCGGCATAAACGATTACGTGCACGTTCTTGGGTAGTCGGTTGAACACCCCCGGTTAGCGATTTGAATTACTTCTGTTTTAATTTTATTATTTATTTAGATAAGAATATTTTTTATTATTATTGGATTATAATTTGAGTTTATTCCTACATATCTTGACTTGACTTGGAGATTCAGCAAAACAGTCTTCGTGACTTAGCAACCAAATGTCACTTTGCTAAGACCTCAGTAAAATAGATTGCAGAGCAGTCGGCTGTCCAAATCTCGGCTAAAAAATACTGAGGTTCGGAAAAAATTTAGTGCGTAGGATGTTGAAGAAATCGATCCGATAACTTATGGGCAGTTCCATGAATTTCATGAAAATTTTGACAATCTCACTGAAAATCTATGAACTGCATCATTTCGCTTTAATTTCAGGAAATTAAGGAAACCTCAAATAAGTTCTTTAAATTTTGGGGAAGTTTAAAGAACACCAAACAAGTTAGGAATTTTCGGGAAATCTTCAAGAGCACAGGAGTCCAGAGAACTTCGAGAGCTTAAAAAAATCAGAGAAGTTCAGTAAATGTTAGGCAATATTTGGGAACATCAGGGAAACTAAGAGGAATCAGGAAAATGCGGAAACATTTTAAAAGAAGTTGCAAAAGCTACAGGGCGGATTTTAGATTTGGGGAACTTCAGCGAAGATGATTGAAGTTCCATTAATTTCAGGAAAATATTGGGAAATTTGGAGATGCTCTCCAATTTTCCAGTAGTCCAGAAAAAATTAGAAATGTGACATGTTTGAAAGCCCTTCCGAAGCTCAGCGGTTATCAATGAAACTTAGGGATTCTTAGGACTTTTTTTTTATTAAGTTCAGCCTGAACAGACAGAGTACTAAGAGCTTCAAAAGAATTTCAAAAATTCTAGAGAAGTTCTGAGAACTTCAGGAAAGATCAGAGAATCTTCTCATGAAGAAATGAAATTGGATTGTTAGCGGAATGCTTAAATAAAACAGCAAAAGAGGTTATCTTCCATTTAATTCCACTAAATTAATTTTGGTATCCATGACAGATACGTATGCAAAATGCGTCCGACTCCACATCCCTGAACCTAACTGCCATTTATTAAAAAAATAATGTACTCACCATTATAGCCATCCATATTCAGGTCTCCAATTTTAGCCAAACTGATGCCGAATCGTCCGTTCAGCTCATAGCTCGAAGAGAGCACAGTCTGAAGGTTGAAGCTCAGTTTTCCCTCGTTCAAATACACATACACCACACCGTTCTCGAATTCCGAATTTTTACTATGCATTGGTGCCGAAATGGCCAAATCCGGTAGACCGTCTCCGTTGAAATCATCCGTCAGTAGCGCATAGCCAAAGTACTCCCCCTGCTGCTGGCCGGGAAACGTATACAGCACCTTGATCTGCGTTTCCCGGAACGAATCGGCATTGATGATATCGAATATGTATACCTCTCCCGTTTGCACTTTCATCTGAGGAGCACTGGCCACGTACAGCAACTTGGTATTGTCCTGGAAGAAGCCGGAGCTTACGGCATACCCAAAGTAAGAATCATCCTCCAGGCTAGTGAAGTATGGATTTGGCACATCGGTAACGTAGCTGATAATCTGTCGCTTGGGACGCTCTTGCTGCTTCTGACGACCATCGCGCCTGCTCAGTCCACCCATATCTTCATTCACTTGGCGCCGATAACGAACCACCGTACCGCGCCAATTGAACACACCTGGGGCACCGATCAGAATCTCCTCATTGTCGTCGGTGATGTGAACGCTCAGACCTTGCTCACCGTACATATAGTTGTAGAACTGGATGCCACTGTTGTGGTCCTTGTATAGTTGTTTATCTGCGAATCATCGTAAAAAAAAAAAACAGTTAGAAAGCTCACGTGACCCAAATTGGTGACTCACCTTTCACTCGCAGCGGATAGATCGGTCGGATGGATTTCGGTTCGTTTAGCTCGGTTCCATCGGTGAGGTAGCAGATTCCATGCAGCAGATAGTAATCCACCAGTTCACTTTTGATTTTCGGTGCGCAAACCACAAATCGATCGCCATCGGAACCATGCCCATCCATAGCGGCTCCGAGCATCTGGTAGTCCTTCTTCTCGGAACTGTAGGCAAAGGGTTCATTTTCGTTGTTGGTGTTTCCGTTGCGGTCAAAATAGTACGGAGCGCACTCTCCACTGTCGTAGTGGCATTTGTATATGGCTCCGGTTTCGTTGATTTTGCGTTGCGATGCGAGGTTCGACTGGGCTCGCGGTGCTCCGACGATGAGTCTGAGGAAGACGAGAAATTGGGAGAATAGTCCATGTTAGCAGCGGAACTGGTTATGCACATTAGGTTTATGTAAAGTTACGTATTTTCGCTTCACAGGTTCAAATCAGGTTGACATCTGACGTTGGATGAAGCACTATATGTATATACAGCCATTCAATAGCAAAACGATATAGTGGTTCTCAAAATTTGGTTAAATTTGTAGTTTTGTTTCTTATCGCAAAACATTAGACCCGTATTTTTTGTCATTAGGAGGACCATATCTATGTTAGGGTGGTCCAAAAAATAGATTTTTTTTTCAAAAATGTATTTTTTCAAAAAATTATGATTTTTGAACCACTCGATAACAAATATCAAAATATCAAATGAAAGGTAATTAAAAATACTGTTTGTAAAACATTAATTGATAATATAAAAAACAGGGATTTTGTAATAAAAACATACATAGATTGTACTTGTTTTTATGGTTTTCATGGTTTGTAGACAGAGGGCGAATTATATTTTTATATTTTTCTCTGAAAATGTGGGCGTACCAACGTATCAAGAAATTAGCGATGTGTGTTTTTTTTCTGTTATTGAGTTATATTTTTTTAAAGATATCAAGTTTTGGGTTTTCATTCCGTCTCGCACGCTGAGCCGATCAAGTCGCATCGGTCTCGTTGTACGACACTATCATTTAGTTTTGAGTTTTTCCCCACGCGAGGGTTTTTTCTCGCATAAGTTAATTGGCATAGTGTTTAGACGACTAGTGCGCGAGTGAGGAAGCCGTTAATGATATGCCGAGTGCTTTCATTACGGTCCAGCTTTAACCCAGCATCATCGCAACATCATCAGCAAAATCATCACCACTATCGGTACATCACCCCACCGATAGCAACAACGAAAGAGCGTCATATTGCCTACCGAGTCGACCGAGGCACACCAGCATCGAGGTTATTGACTCTGCAGCAGTTGGATCAAACAATTATATCTCTCCAGTCTGCTGCCGCCTCAGTGCGTTAGGTATAAATCGTGTCGTTTGTATTGTTCTCGCCAGTATAGCATCTTCCTTGTTTCCCTGGTCCAATATTAGATTGGTGTTTAATTAGGGTGATCCAAAAATCCAATTTTTTTTTTCGCTTGATATTTTTTTTCTTGATTTTTTTTTTATTATTATTTTTGTATTACTTAGGGTGATCCAAAACTCTGTAAATAGTATATAATCATTATTTTTTTTTTTATTTTTTTTTTTTTTCTTTGCATGTATTACTCGTTAGTAGAGTGAAACTATATATATATATATATATTTTTTTTGATATTATTTGAAATTACTGCAATTATTTGTAAATTTTTTTACAAAAAACACCATTGCGGCGATATTTAACCGCAATGGATGAAAATGATAAAGGCGGGGGATGGTCGCTTTCCATCTCAGACGACGAAACTCTTAATTCCACCTCACACGAAAGTCTCGAGGAAGTTGTGGAAATGGAAACCCTTGACGTTCCAGTTGACTCGCTCTCCAGCAAAAATACTGGAGCATATCCCAAGAAAAGGTATCGCCCACAACCCTCTCCCCCACCATCTCCTCCTCGTCCACCTGCACCCCCCACACCATTGCCCCCAAAAACCTCTGCGCTCCCCCGCCTAAAGGCTTACCCAGAAGCCTCAAAAGGCCCATGGGTTGTTTTTTTCCGGCCCAAACAAAAACCTTTGAACATTCCGAGGATCTCTAAGGATCTAACAACACATTTTTCGGCCGTTACCGATATTTTCAAGGTAACACCAATAAAACTGCGCGTTACCGTTGATGACCGGAAGCAGGCTAACCAAATTGTTGCGTGCGAGCTTTTTTCATTGGAATACCGAGTCTACATACCCAGTAGTGAGGTAGAAATTGAAGGAGTGGTCACCGAAGCGAGTTTGACTAGTGATGATTTCTTGGGTCCCGATTCCTTCGGAATCTTTAAAAACCGTGCTCTGCCGAAGGTGAAGATATTGGACTGCCTTCAAATGCAGTCAGTATCCGTAGTAGGCTCCAAAAAAACTTATTCCTTGTCAAACTCGTTTCGTGTGACGTTTTCGGGTTCAGCGTTACCTCACTACGTCGCTATTGGCAAGGTTCGGCTGCCTGTACGCCTGTTTGTACCTCGGGTAATGAACTGCTCGAAATGTAAACAACTTGGTCATACATCGGACTACTGCTCGAACAAACCACGCTGCGATCAGTGTGGCGAGCAACATCAAGAGGGCCCTTGCGGTGCTCCACCAAAATGCGTGTACTGCAAGGAGAGCCTGCATACCCTGACTAACTGCCCGAGGTATAAACAGCAGGGAGAAAAACTTAAGCGGTCTCTGCAAGCTCGCTCCAAGAGAACACTAGCAGAACTCTTGAAGAATACCGCTTCATCTTCTCAGACCACACCAAAAAACAGTAACACGTTCTCCATTTTGCCAGTTGATGATCTAGACTCTGACTCAGAGGGCGGTGAGGGTAGTCCGTTTGTCTTTAAAGGCAATACGAGAAAACGAGCAAAACAACACACCACCGAAAAGCCTCGTAAGGCCACTCGTACGGACCACCCTTCCACCTTGGAAAATTCAAGAGGTAACGGAAATACACCGAAACCCATTCCACCGGGTTTTAAACCTTGTAATTATGACAAGAACTTTCCGTCACTTCCAGGATCATCTAAAACCCCAGATGTCCCAGTTTTTCGGCCAGAAAAGCAGCTGAATAATCAGCAAGAACATGCCCCCATGTTCACGTTTTCTGGTATTGTGGATAGCTTCTTCAGTATATTCAATGTCTCTGACTCAACGAGGAGCATTATTAATTTAGTGCTGCCAATGGTGAAAACTCTTTTGAAGCAACTAGCTTCTAGGTGGTCCTTCCTTGCATCGATCATATCTTTCGATGGATAATTCTCCGAATGAGGTCGGGGATATGATCTCTGTTCTTCAGTGGAACTGTAGAAGTCTTATGCCAAAACTTGACACATTTAAATTTTTAGTTAACAACTCACTTTCTGATGCATTTGCCCTTTGTGAAACATGGCTCTCTTCAGACAACGATCTTGCTTTCCACGATTTCAACATTATTCGCCTTGACCGCGCAGATTCGTATGGAGGGGTGCTTCTGGGGATCAACAAGCTCCATTCCTTCTACAGAATCGATCTGCCTTCGGTGACAGGCATTGAAGTTGTTGCATGTCAGGTTAATATTCGAGGTAAATGCCTCAGTATTGCCTCAGTATATCTTCCACCGCGAACTGCGATTTCTCGTCAAAGTTTCTCGGATATCTGCACGGCTATGCCGGAGCCACGGTTGATCTTGGGAGATTTTAACTCTCACGGTACAGGCTGGGGGGAACTGTACGACGACAACCGCTCAACCTTGATATACGACATGTGCGACTTCTTCAAAATGACAATTCTGAACACCGGGGAAGCAACACGAGTAGCCAAACCTCCAGCAAAAATAAGCAGATTAGACCTCTCACTTTGTTCGAGTTCACTATCGTTGGATTGCTCATGGAAAGTAATTCAAGATCCCTACGGTAGTGACCATTTGCCAATCAAAATTTCTATTACCAATGGTTCATCTTCTACTCGTTCGGTCGACATCGCGTACGATCTTACAAAAAACATTGACTGGCGAAAATTCGCGACCGCGGTTCTTGATGCCAGCCAATCGGTTGACGTACTTCCTCCGCTGGACGAGTACTCCTTTCTCGCGCGTCTTATCATCGATTCTGCGCTGCGAGCACAGACGAAACGTGTTCCGGGTATTTCCGTCCGCAAGCGACCTCCCACCCCGTGGTGGGATAAGGATTGCACCGACGCGAACAGCGAGAAGTCCGCCGCGTTTAAACGGTTCCGCAAACACGGCAAGGTCGGGGATTTCGAGCGGTACACCGACCTCGAGAAAACTTTTAAGGACTTAATTAAAGCAAAAAAACGCGGTTACTGGCGTCGGTTCGTCGATGGTTTGTCGCGAGAGACTTCCATGAGAACACTCTGGAATGTCGGCAGGAGAATGCGAAACGCGTCATCACCGATTAACGAAGACAAGGAGTACTCGGACAGTTGGATATTCAGCTTCGCGCGGAAAGTTTGCCCGGATTCGGTGTCGGTTCAAACCAACGTTCGTGATCGTCCGTCGGGTAATAACGAAATAGATTCCCCGTTTTCGATGGTGGAATTCTCACTTGCTCTCCTTTCATGTAACAATTTAGCTCCAGGAATGGATAGAATCAAGTTCAACTTGCTTAAAAATCTCCCAGATGTCGCGAAGAGACGCTTGTTGAACTTATACAATCAATTTCTGGAGCACAACATTGTTCCGGATGACTGGAGGCAAGTAAGAGTTATCGCCATTCGAAAACCCGGTAAACCCGCGACGGATTATAACTCGTACCGTCCCATCGCGATGCTGTCCTGTATACGGAAATTGTTGGAGAAAATGATTCTTTTTCGTCTAGACAAATGGGTCGAGTCGAATGGTTTACTTTCAGATACGCAATTTGGATTTCGGAGAGGCAAAGGAACGAGCGACTGTCTTGCGTTGCTTTCAACTGAAATTCAACTGGCCTATGCGCAAAAACAGCAAATGGGTTCAGTTTTCTTGGACATTAAGGGGGCTTTTGATTCTGTTTGTATCGATGTCCTTTCGGATAAACTCCACGATAGTGGGCTTTCACCAATTATGAACAACTATTTGAGCAACTTGTTGTCTGAGAAATATATGAGCTTTTCTCATGGAAACTCGACAACTTCACGAATTAGTTACATGGGTCTCCCCCAGGGTTCATGTTTAAGCCCCCTTCTTTATAATTTTTATGTAAAAGACATTGATGGTTGTCTTGATGAAAATTGCTCGCTAAGGCAGCTTGCAGATGACGGCGTTGTATCCGTTATAGGGCCAAGTGCACCGGACCTGCAAGGACCATTGCAAGATACCTTAGACAATTTGTCTACTTGGGCTATGAAGCTGGGTATCGAATTCTCTCCGGAGAAAACT